TTCCGTGCCACAGAGGCAGGTAAGTCAGTGGGGTGTGCACATGACATGTGGGTTTAATCAGCCTTAAGTTGATGCGGTGTTTTTTAAAACCCACTGCTTCAATTTAGGGCCCTCATTTTGTCTACACACACCCAAAGTAATTTAAAGCACAATACGCCACTGAGCATGGAAACAGTAATGCCATTAAAGCAGTGCAGGGCATTTAAGCCACTTTAAAGGCCAATTTTATTGTGTGTACGAAAGCCCAGTAACATTACATTTCACACTACTTTTATCCCATGTGTGTGTTTTCCCTGTGGGCAAAACTCAACAAGATGAGTAGCAAAATAAGTGTTGTTTTTTTTTAAATCATACTAATTCAGCTGAGGGAGCTTAACAGCACTGAGAGCCCAGTTAATGCTCATGAACAGCTTTGAAGCCTTCTCCCCCTAGCTTCAAAGGGATTACTTGATGGGTTAGCATGCATTAGGATGACTTTTCAATCATATTAACTCACAGGACAATTGAATAGAATATCCCTTTTGCCCTTCCAGATAGGATTCAATAGACACCATCCTACGTTCGGGTTTTCTACCCTCTGTTGGAGTGCAAATCAAGAGAGTTCCATAGAGCCACAAAAAAGTAGCTGCTGGGAGGAAGCATTCACTCTATGGTCATTCTGGTCACACCCTTTTCCTGACTCCTCTCTGCCATTTATTGGGATGTTATTATTAGCAAAGGAAAGAGGATAGATGCTTTCCAGAGCTCTCACCACCTCTCCTGGTGGACCTTTCCTGCCTCAGGGACCCTATGCCTGACTTTATAGGGAAAGAAGTCAATGTACACCCAGGCTGAATGTATCCCTGATTCTCCCATCAGCCAAAAGGGAGTTGCCTCATTTTCACCCACAAAATTTACTGAGAATTGGAAGCATATTGTAGAAAGGACTGAGTGCTATGATTAAATGTACATTTATGGATCGCTTTCAAATGGGAGAAAATGGAATTATTTCTCTTGAACTCAGAATGGAACAGTACTGAGAGTTCAAGGGCTAGTAATAATAGTAAGGGCTATTAATAAATAATAGTTCGACTGAGACTTGTACCTGTACATATCTGTATCTGTAGGTTAAGGATATGATTTTTTTTGGCAACTTAGTCAAATAGTTGCAATTCTACCAGAAATGTTAAAGTAACAAAGCTTGCTAGAGGAACATCTCTCTCATAACTGGGGAGAGTAAACTTTATTTAATAACAAAGCAGTGTTGTTCACCATGAAGCAAATGGAATCAGAGTGTGATAAAGCACAGCAAGAGAAAAAATAATCTGTTTGTGGTTCTGATGCCTAAAGGCCTTAATGCCATTCCCATACTTTGGCAATGTTAAAAAGGTACTTCTCTTCATTAGCTATCGTGAGTAAAATCACCTCCTCCAAAACGGAACAACTGAATGTCTTTGGGCCAAATTCTGACCACAGATATTTGCACATGGTTCCCATTAGCCTCAATAAGAGCTGTGTATATCCAAAGGCAGAATTTGGCCCTGTTTTATTATATATTTTGGGTGGGATTTTCAAAAACACTCAACATTGATTTAATTTTGTTCCAGTGAAGTCAGCAAGAGTTTTACTATTAACTGGAGGAGAAGCTGAGCTAGACCAATGCTGAGTATAATTTTAAAAAGACCACTTTTTTCCCTTTTCTATGTATTTTTTGTTAAACCAATAACTTTAAGGCAATAAGGGATATCACATAGATCACATCGTACATAGAAAACAACAAAGGGAATATAAAAACCAAAGAGTTTTGTTTAGAAAACAATCCTGCTTTTTTCATTCATCAAACAGACATTGGAGAAGTTACATATAAACAGAGGATGGAATTTTTCTTGAATTGGCCAATAGAAATGCATGTCTCAGTCCTACAAATATGAACACATGAATAGTCTTTCTATTGACTTCAGAAGAGCTTGGATCAGATCCACTGGAGGTTTTCACTAGGTTTTTTTTCCCTCCCAGTAAAATTCTAACTTTTTAGTAATAACTGTAGTGATATGAATATTTTCCCATACTGAGCAGCATAGCACTCTATGACAGTATAAGAATTACCGTACCATTTTAGCTCAGCCCAACTCCCACAGACAGACATCTCTCAGCTTGTTAGTTTTTTGTTGTTTTTTTAACTCGGTCATATAATTTTTAATGATTACTAGTAGGGTATTATTTCTAGGCTGACGACAATCACCCTTACATTCCCTTTGATTCTGCTAATGACTCAGCTAATTCCACCATCTCTTCATCATTTGATTCTGTCAATACTTGGTTTCATCTTTACTTTCATCATTACAAACCTAATTTTGATAATGAACATATAGCTCAAGTGGACCGTGTGCTTAAGAGTATGTCAAATGAGGCAAAGGACAAAACAGAATCTGTGATCCCAATGTGTAATAGCCAGCTTGCACCTGGTGCACAGCCCTCATGGCATATAGGAGGGACAGATATGATTTACTAGCTAGGATTTTGGCAAGAGGATCTGTGTAGTGAATATGAATTCACTTCTTCTCCCCCTACACACACACTACTTTGCAGATTGCAACAAAAAGCAGTTGGGGTGGTGTGAGTGCTAAGTTGCATGGTTAACAGCCCAGAGGTCATGACTTCAAAGCCATAGCAGAAGTACCCACAGTATAGCTATGTCTGATTCCAGCAGATCTGTGATTTCTGCTAAATAGCTTGTCACAAGGAGATGGGAAAGGACTGCACCAGAAAATTTGTATAGTCTGAGCAAAACAAACATTGTTTTCTGTCATGCTGTCTTGCCTCCCAGTGAAAAATCACCTTGCAGAAAAACTACAGGATTTTATTCTCATATACTTCATGTTATGCCATTTTCACACTGGTTACTTAAGTACAGCCACACTAGATTTGCAATGGTATTTTGTTTTAAAAAGTACTTGAAAGGTTGCAAAGTCAAGCATTTGAAAGCTATGGAATTCCAGAATTAAAGATGCAAACAAACTATGAAACAAACTAACTATGAAACTATGCCTATGCAATTTTTAATTCAGCCCTTTTATGATTAGGCTGGTTTCTTGCTATGTTTCTGGTAGGACTGCTGTACCAGTATAGGAAGTCAGTGTAGTATACTGACAAACAATTACTAGCATGAATGCATTTATCCTCGCAGAAGTGCAATTGGTTAAACCCATCAAGACAAGCTATACTACAAAGCACACTTTTTTTTTCTGGTATAACTACTTCTACACAAGTTCTGCCAGCACAGATATGTCAGTCAGGGCTCACATCTTTTCTGACCCCTGACCAGCAGACCCATGTCAGCAGAAGTCTGTAGGGTAGACATTACCTCCATTTGCACAATCCCAAGTTTGGCCAAGATATGAAGAACTGAAAATGGCCCTTTTGTACAAACAAGATTAACTCTGGCAGCACTATTAGCTCTGCCTATATTTAGGAACCATCACATATTTCCACTGTCATCTGGACCTGTTGATAAGAGATCTGAGCTTTAACTCTGAAATTATTTTTAAAAATAAAGATTTCAGTATAAGAAAGGTTCTCACAAGTCAGCTTCTTGGTTATATTTTAGGCATATATTTCATTTTCACCATCAAAATCAGAAATTATGATTTCTGGTGCTATACATCAGTGTTTCCCAAGCTTTTGATACCTGGAACATACTTTTTTTCCAGATTAAAATTGGCAGTGCACTTTTCTGAATTGTATGGCATCCCAGTTTATTGGGAAAGATTTAAATTCAGAAGACATATGGAGGGAGCATGGGGGATAAAGAGGTTGAGAATCACTGAATTATCTAGTGCCATTTAAGAGCAGCAGAGGCAGTACCTCTCCCCTCTGTGCCCTGTCCTTTCCATTGTCTGCCCCCTACTAAACCCTGGCATGTACCTAAGGGGCTAAGGACAGCCTCCACTGTTGAAGCTGCTCTTCCAGTGCTTCACATACCAGCAGCCACCTCCATGGCCAGGATCACTTCTGGGAACATGGGAGCACCAGTACAGAGGTAGTTTGGAGGCAGGGGAAGGTGGACGGAGGCAGAAGCAGCAGTGACAGTCCCCAGAGGAGCAGCCACAGGTGGCACTGGAGAAGCTGGGGCAGTTGCAAGGTGCTGGATGTGGGAGGAGAACATGTACCCCTAAAAGGATCTGATGACACTTCCATTGCTCTCACAACACACTAGTGTACTGCAGCACCCTTTGGGAATCACCACTCTACATGTTTCCTTACTTCATATCTCATTTGTTAATAATCATTTTGATATTGCTTATATGCAGTATTGTAGAAACTAGCCTCTTTGCAATGAGAGGAAAAACTACTGACCCTAGTATTTCACTGTGCTCTCAGGTGTCTGTTCTGCTCTGCTTTTGGCTGACAAGGTTCTTTAGGTAAATGATATATTTTATTAGACCAACTAAATTGGAAAAATTGATCTTTACAAGCTTTCAGGTACAAACACCCTTCTTCAGGCAGAGGGAGAGTTTGCAGCTGTTTTCATAGTTTCATAGATTTCTCAGACATTAGGGCTGGAAGGGACCTCAGAAGATCATTGAGTCCAGCCCCCCGCCCAAAGGGCAGGAAGTCAGCTGGGGTCATAGGATCCCAGCAAGATAAGCACCCAATTTGCTCTTGAAGGTGTTCAATGTAGGTTCTTGAACCACCTCCGATGGCAGGCTGTTTCAGACCTTGGGGGCTCGGACAGTAAAGAAATTCTTCCTTATGTCCAGCCTGAAATGGTCTTGTAGTAGTTTATGACCGTTCGACCTCGTCATCCCTTGGGGCACTCTGGTGAACAAACGTTCCCCCAGATACTGGTGGTCACTCCTGATAAACTTCTAGGTAGCCATCAGATCACCCCTGAGCCTGCACTTTTCCAGGCTAAAGAGCCCCATGGCTCTCAGCCTGTCATTGTAAGGTCTGTTTTCCTGACCTCTGATCATGCACGTGGCGCTTCTTTGGACTCTCTCAAGCTTCTCCACATCCTTTTTGAATTGTGGAGCCCAAAACTGGACGCAGTACTCCAGCTGCGGCCTCACCAAGGCTGAGTACAAGGGGAGAATGACGTCCCAGGATTTGCTTGAGATGCATCTATGGATGCAAGCCAGCGTTTTGGTAGCTTTACTAGCTGCAGCATCACACTGCAGGCTCATGTTCATCTTGTGGTCAATGATGACTCCCAAGTCTCTTTCTTCTGTAGTACTAGCCGGCGTAGCACTGCCAAGCCTATAAGGATGTTGCAGATTTTTCTTCCCAAGGTGGAGAACCTTGCATTTTTCGGTGATAAACACCATCAGGTTCTTGTCTTCCCATTTGCTGAGCCTGTCCAGGTTTTGTTCACTGCTGGGTGGGATAGAAGCCATTTTAAGTGGCAGGTTAGTTGAAAGCAGTGGATAGAGTTATAGGGTTGTGAAGAATCAGAATGAGATGTCAAGCTATCCCCAAACAATAACTTAAAACTGAAATGAGAGGAGCACGCCATATCCAGAAAAGAAGGGGAGAAAACAGAACAGAGAAGTGAGCCACTCATTTCAAACTGTAAAATGAACAGCTAGTAAGGTAACAGGTCACTGGGTCACTGTCTAGAAGACAAAGCATTTAGGTAGGGCACTTAAGTGGGACAACTAGGGCACATTAAGAGGGTTTATGTCTAAAGAACAAGATCATCTAATTGGTCTATGGAGATAACTTAACAGTTCAGTTAAATATGGTTAGTTTCAGACAACCATCCCAAATATATCTTACTTTAAAACCTCTTTGATTTTTAGATCTTAGTCTTATGATGAGGTCTAAAATACAACATTGCAGACTGTGAGATCACAAAGAGGACTGAATTTTATTAGTAGATGTTAAGAGTTATGAACCCAGAAAGATGACAAAGCAGTAGGGAAATACAGATCACCCAAGCGAGGGACTAACATAGGAGGGATGGGGGTGAGGGGGGGAATGCAACTAGGTTACAGAAAATACAATGTTAGCCAACTAAGCTCAGGGGTGGGGGAAGGGGAGGGAGGGGGTTTGCGATGCTGAGAGAGGAAGAAGATAGATATATATAAACCCATACAATGGTCTGCAATTGTGGAGTGAGCAGGTTGGATGAAGTCCATATAGAGTCTCATTGTGGGGGTCCTCTTTGGGCAGAATGGGGTGCTCCTTTGTTGAAGATTCCTCTCGAAGTCCATCAGGTGCAGAGGACTCCCATGACGAGACTCTATATGGACTTCCTCCAACCTGCTTACTCAGGTGCAGAGTGGGGTTGTGGGTCCGGTCTGGTGGCAGTCGGTCTGGCGGGGTCGGTGTACTGGAGGTGGCCCATGATGTGCTCCACGTAGACGTCACGGGACCAGCAGATCATGTCGGACACCATGAGGCAGTGCATTAGCTTGGCGTAGCAGCAGGAGATGAGGTAGGCATGCAGGATGCTCTTGTTTCTGGGGTCCCAGGCTCTAAGCATTCCCATGATGAGCACGTCAACCTATTAACATGCAAACACAACGCAAGAAGAAGTTCAAAAATTTAAAAAATAAATTAAGGAAATCAAATCAAGGCCAGGCAACTAAAGATTAACAGGGTAGAAAAAAGGGTATAAATAAGATATTAAATAGAATGAAAAAAAAACAGCAAAAGATGAGATACAGATAATATATTTGTCTGAAGAGAAAACACTAATGTTTTTTCTACTTATTAAATAAATATGCTCTTATTTTATATTATTTTCCAAAAAAAAAAAAAAATATCAGCTTTGTCAACTGGAATGATATAAAACAGGTGCCAGAAATTTACAAGCCATGGGCTGGATGTGACCCATGGAGCCACTGGGGGCTTCAGCAGTATTCAGGAACAGGTCATTATGGGGAGGGAGGAGGGCTTCATCTGCACCAAGCCCTGGCTGTACAGCAGAAAGCTTTATCCATGCTATGCCTCACCTGGGTTCTCACCTGGGCGCCAGCCCATCTTGGACCTAAACTCGGTTATTTTAGTCTGCTGCCAGAAAAAACACTGCAGAGAGTAATTTAAAGAGTTGGCAAAATATTGTAGACTGGGCCTAAAATCTTAGGGGGTCACTCACACTGTTCAGGGAGAAATCTAAACCGGTATGAAAAAACACCAATTTTAAAAGGGGTTCTCCCTTTACTTACCCTGCCACTGTGACTTTGACCTTAAGATTACAGAGCAATTAAACTTCCCAGTTGCAGAGTAACTAAGCTTTCAGAGCACTAAGGATCAGGACAGTTTAAACAGTACTAATGTCATCCAGGGACAGATCTGAAAGAGGAAGTTCACTTCTCAAGACTGTACTGTGTCTAAAAACAGATTTATCTGGGTTTGTATATGCTGGAATGGATGGGCTAGGCCACGGCTCTCCAACTTTGGAATATACAGGGGCCACATACTGCATGGGTCCTCCACTGTACTGGGGCCCCAGGCCCCCACAGTTGCACCACCCCAAAGGAAGAAGGAGGAGGGAGGGTGAGCCTGGAAACACCGGTAGTAGCCACCAGAGAAGTGGGGGGATCGGCACCCAAGCAGGAGCCTGGGGAGTAGGCAGGGGTTGTGAAATAACCCCTTGGGGGCCTTATGCAGCCCAGAGGCTGCCATTTAGACAGCTCTAGTTAGGCTAATCTTCCCTATTAAGCAATATTCTAATGATTACAACACCTGACTGGGAACTAAGACTGTTTTTTTCCCAGATTCTGCCACTGACACATTCTTAACCTTGAATAGGTCACACAGATTCACCGATTCACAGAAGTTTAAGGCTCGAAGGGACCTCATGAGATCATCAGGTCCAGCCGCCCTGCTCTGGGCAGGAAAGATTGCTGGGGTTAAATAACCGCAGCAAGGTGTTCGTCCAGTCTCCTTGTGAAGAACTCCAGGGTAGGTCACTTAAGCCAAATGATCCAGACCAGGTGATTAAAGTTAGACACATGAATTCAGATTTAAGCATCTAAATAAAAGTGTCCCATTTTTCAGAAGTATTAAACATAATTCCCACTTGGTTCCTATTACAACAAGGACATCTACAGCCAGGGGTGTAATAAGTGGATTTCCTCCTTAGGGAAAAGCAGAAGAAAACAAGAATCATAGAAAATTAGAGTTGGAAGGGACCTGAGGAGGTCATCTAGTCCAACCCCCTACTCAAAGTAGAATCATTCCCAGCTAGATCATCCCAGCGAGAAATAAGGTAAACTGTATAAAATAACAAATGATAAAATGACTATGTTATTAGATGTCAAATCAAAAAAGATCAGTAACATAAGTACTACTTCTGATTAATAGAAAATGCCAGGATATACCATGTTAAACCAGACTGTCTAAGACAATACTCCGTTTTAAGCCTGTGCTGTATCCTATACTGCCATTACCTTGTGCGTAAGTCCAATTAAATATAATTTTAAATCTTTTATAAAGGAAATTCAATAATATTTTTCTTGTACGAAGACTACAAAAGGCAAAAGTGGTCCTGAGCTATGAAATTATAAACTGAGGCTGTCAAATATCTGTAGGGAACCAGGAAAACAGGGGAACAAAGAAATCTCATAAATGCTGAGAGATGGAGTAGAAGATAAGGTTTCTCTTGGCTTGTTGTCCCTTTGGAGTGTATTAAGGGAACTGTGTGCCCTGGTTCACTAATTCTGCATATTCGTCATCTGTCACAATGCATTTTTGGGCAGCTTTGTGTAAGTTTTCTTCAAAAGTATGTTATCTTGGAAAATGCAACATGAGCGATACTCTTCGAAGTTCCGGGGAAAAATAGAAGCATTTGTTTACAATTCAGGCTTAAAGAAGGCTGGGTCACATGGGGCTACAAAGCAGCCAAAACAAGTAGAGACCTCTGAGGTGCATCTGAAACAAGTTACTTAAAAGTGAAAAAGCATTACAAATGTTTCACAACATACTGCTATCATGATCTTGTGATATGAACACTGGACTAGCGGTCAAGGACCTTATTTCTAGAGAGGTTAGGAGCTCCAGATAGAGCCTCTGGGAACTGAAGATACTCAGATGCTAAATGGACCACCAGATTCCGTGGTTTGGTACCTGGCCTTGCCATTAATTTGCTTATGACTGTGAGCAAGTCCCTTAGATACAGATTTTTTTTTAATTACTAGTAATTTTGATTGTCTCAAGAAGTGCTTTTAAACTTGAGACATCTTGAAAGTGACTGATTTTAGGAGTGTGGGTTCCAACACACATAAAAAAAATCAACCTTCAAACGTATCTCAGGTTTGTTACCCAACAACAGCTGTACCTGAAATTGCTAGTTACTAAGCATGTCTACACATACATTTGATCCAGGATCAGTTTACTTGTGAGAAAACTACTCACAAGTAAATGCTCCCAGGCAGGTGTCTACAAATGCAGAGAAGCAGGAGCAGATTAGCTGCTAATGGCAGCAAACTGTTCCTGCTTCCTGGGGCCCTGTAATGGGCCCCTGCCACCACCAGGGGGAGTTCTAGGATCGGTGGATCGGGGTAGGGGGCTAGGACCTACCCCACCCCTGCAGCTCTTTCCAAGTCCCATGCCTCAATCACCCAGCCAGGGCACGGGGCTGGGACCTGCCCCTGACTGGAAGAATTCCCAGCCCCTGCTCTATGATTGTAGGGCAGAGACTGGAGAGCCTGTTTCCTGCTCAACTCTGAGGAAACGTGACTGGTCCTCTGGACCAGAAACTCCATGGGAGGGGTTTGGGCAGTGTGTGAGTTCATGCCGAATTATATAAGGACTGAATTAAGCACAGGCTCAGACCTGGATGTTCAATGTAAAACTTTTATTGTTTCACAAAGTCATAAACTAAGGAGGTCTGTTGGTTCACGAGGTTCCCAAATCAAGCCCTTGCTTTCCAACCCGAAGGCTAGGTGCGGCTGCCCGATTCAGTAGTCTCAGAACTGGTCAACAGCTCATTTAAAAGGAGTCCCTTTTCTTTTTTTA